TAGCACGTCAATATGTCCATGAAGGCTTCTTTTATGTAGGCCTGTTCATAAGTGCCGAAATAGCTCAGTTGGGAGAGCGTTAGACTGAAGATCTAAAGGTCCCCGGTTCAATCCCGGGTTTCGGCAAGAAGCATTTTTTTTTTAATTTTGCCTCCTTTTTTAATTTAAGCTGATAAAGATTGTTTTTTTTTATTATTATTATGAATCGGCCTGCAGATTTAGGCCATAACATAACATTTAACATACATCCAGAAGACCAAAGTTTTACAATTTTACATTACATTATTATAAAGATTAAATTCTACTTTTTAAAGTTCATTGAGAAATTGCATAAATGCATACATTTTGGTGTGCCTTTTATAATGTCCTAGACACATGTGAGCAAGTTGAAGATCAACACATTATTGTTTATTTAATTGATTTATAGTTTTAGATAAAATCAATCATAACTTTAATAAGTTTGCAGCGGCCTAAGAATAGATAGTTGGGCATAGCATAGAAATGTAATGAAACATTTTTTTTCTTAAATATATTCTGAGGTGCTTTTTGACTTTGAAAAAAAGTTTTGGGAGGTCATTAATGGGCTGAATGGGAAGTACAAGTTTAAATCAATCATTTTATTCGCGTTTTGGTAAAAGAACCAAAATAATACCCACATATATATTGGATATAACAACTAATTTAATGTGAGATAAGATAATTAATAATTGAATGGAAAACTAGTCATTTGTAATTTCTTACAATACACTTCTCATGAACAATTAAATTTAATAAACAATGTTGCTTACGCATTGTTTACGTAAAGGAGCCGTTCTATTTTTATTGCCTATATTTTGGGGCAGCCTCCGAGAAGTTTCCGTGGTGTAGTGGTTATCACATCCGCCTAACACGCGGAAGGCCCCCGGTTCAATCCCGGGCGGAAACATTTTTGTTGACAATTCAGAGAAGGAGAGAGGGGAGGAGCAGGTCGATATTTTTGTTTTTTGCCTCAAAATTTGAAATTCTTGAAGCGTAGTATTTTTTAAATATATATTTGTTGTATATTCAAACAAAAAGTAATAGATATTTATAAACAATTAGCTTAAGTAATTAGAAGCTACTTAGTTTTTGATGTCTCATGATTCAGAATGGACTAAAATTACTCGGAATTACTAGAAAGCGAGTATTACTTGTAAGTTTAATCAGAACTCCTAATATAGCTATAAATTTAATTTATTTTTGTGGACTTGATTTTTGCACTGAAAACTGCTGTTTAATTTATATACAAAATTTTAGATCTATAAGTTTGTATTTGAATTTGAAAACTGATTAATACTGCTAGGATAATACTTTCCTCTGAGAATAACCTTTCCGTAATACTCATACATATGTATGTGAGTGTTACGTGTCAAATGCGAGAACGAATTGTAAACATTTGGAAATTTTGAAGAAGCAACATTTGATACACACACGGCCATAAGTTTTCCCCTGATAGCAGAACCAAGCCGCCTTCTCCGCCTACCATGCCGGTACTACGGATCTATTTGCACTGGAAACGGGCAATACTGCTCTCCCTGAAGGTGTTTTACTTTATGCTGGTCGTGAAATGCATGCAACAGGCCAGCCAGAAGAGCATCTCGCTGGTTAGTCGACAGACGAGACTGAGACGCAGGGAAGTGTTCGATATTTAGACAGAAACCGAGGCGATGGCAAAAGGCAAGGCTGAGACCGCAGAAGCACATCAAGACAATGGGCCGAGAGGGGCTGTGCAGTGTGTGCTGTTCGGTTTGGCCACAGAAATAAATTAAGCCCAATGTCTGTCAACCATTTGGAACGACAAATGTTTTAATACGTTTTTATTAGCCAGCTAGAGCGGGAAGCGGCCAAGATGGGGAGTTGGAACAAACGTACTTCTCTCCAGCACGCCCCACTCTAATGGGGTAATGATAATTAGGCTCCATTAGTGCCAAAAAGCAGACGGCTGTGCCACAGACCGATGCCTTCCTCCTTCAGGCATTAGCTTGGCAGCATGGAGAAAATTATGCAGAGTGTCTGTCCTCCTCCGCTCTCTCGCTCACACTCTCTCTCTCTCTCTCTATGTGTGAGTTATGGGCAACATGTGTGGCTGTACGAGCGCGCCACTTGATGCGCCGCTTATAATTTTTGCGCCATTAGACAACTTTGTACATAAACTCATTAAAATGTACTTGAATGCCTCGAAAATATTATGGCCATAGGAGTTGCGATGAAGATGACGCTGAAGACAGGGCTGCTACCATTTGGCGTCGCATTTGGGTAATTTGTCGAGGAGCCGTCTATCTGTGTCTCTGTGCCTGTGTGTGTTTTGACAGTTGCTGTGCCTTTTAGGGAGAGGGTCCAAAGGGGGGGGAAGACAGATTGGCTAAGAACGACACAGCCGATGATGGAGACCGCTCCATGTGTGTGCACTCAGAAAAAAACAAGAGAGAACGCTGCAGTCGAGCAAGCCCGACAGTAAAATACCCTGAACCCAGACAAACTTCCGTCACTGAGTTATATGCGCCCCTAGTGGAACCAAAAAGTAGAAGAAGAGCGAACTTGATACTATAGCTTGTGGACGTAGTACTGGAATCGAATTGTCTCGCTAATAACTTTTCTTAGAATTAACCGATTTCAATGAAATAAAATAGAAGTAGATAATTGTATATAAATTACGTTTGCATTATGTAGCTTTCAAAATGTGAAGAGTATTGACGAAATTCTGTAGCGGGGAGAGGGGAGGGAAAATCAATCATGTGCGCTCTACCGTTTTCGAAATTCAGGCGTTCATCCAGACGGTCGGACAGACAGACGGACGATTTCTCTTGTCGTGCTGATCCAGAACAGAAATACTTTATGGGGTCGGAGATGCTTCCTTCTGCCTGTTACATACTTTGCACAAAACTTTAAATACCCTTTTTACCCTACGAGTACAGGGTACAACAACAGTAATTTTCAAGTACGAATAGTAGTATGTACTTCTTTCGCGTTTCAAATATTCTATAATATTCTTCAAAAGAGTTTTTTCGTGATATGAAAAACATTTTATGATCATAGAATTATTTAACTAAATATGGCGGTGCTGCGAAAATTCTCATTTGAACATTTTTCTCATTTATGTTCAATCTTTCGCCAAGTGTATGTACTTACGTAGTACGTGTGCCAGACATTACGCAATTCGAGACAACTCAAGCAAACACTTGAAATTGTTGCCAGCAGCGCTCGCTGCCTGCCACGCTCCCTGCCCTTGCCCCTTGTTGCAAGTTTAATGACGTCTCTTTGCTCAGCCAGCTAATGAAGATGCACAGCAGATAACGCTCTGTGGATTATAGACTTGGCTGTGGCATATCGAGTGGCAGTTGCTCGGTTGTCGTTGCCAATAACAATGAGATTAGGCAAGTCTGCCAGTCGGGTGGGGTAGGTTCAGATGTTTGCGTCAATGTGCGGAGGAACAATCGGCTGATGCGGAAAGATCAAGCAGTTTACAAGAAATGGTCTCTGATAAGATCGGTTAAAAAAGTTATTTAAATCCAGTACTTCCATGCTGCCAACCAGAAGATAATTTTATTTATTCAATGTCAATCAATTAAATTAAGGAAAATATTTATTTTTGCAAATATGCGTTCTACAAATTTTGTAATTTCAAAAATGTACAAGAGACAATTAGAGAAGAAACAAGAAATACTCTGAACCCTAAAGAACTTCTAGACAGAAGCACGAAGAAGAAGAAAAAGTGCGAGCCCCCTTCTGCAGTTTGCGGGTGTAGGGTTGATAATAACTTTTCTTAAAATATCCGATTTGGATGAAATTCAAAACAAATGTAGAGAAGTAATTTGTATTAATTACGTGTACAAAGTTTGGTTTATGCAGCTTTCAAAATGTGAATAGTATTGGAGAAGTTCTGAACCGTTTTAAGGGGAGGTGAAATAAAAAATAATTAAACTTGTCTTGTCTGGGGACTAGGAGAGTCTGCATACCAAGTTTGGTAAATGTGAGCGTTCATACAAACAAACGGACGAACATCCTAGATCGATTCGACCCATCATACAGATAAGGAATATATTTACTTTATGGGGTCGGATATACTTCCTTCTGCTTTATTTTAATTATTAAGGTTGACGCTTTATAAATATTGAAATGAATACGAGTTTTAAGTCAACTGCGGTTATAAAGAAGGTTAGAGGTAGGTTAGATGATAATTATAGGTTTATAAGTCTACATATATTGATTGATTAATTTTCCCTTAATGCCTTTTCTAATCATGGTTTTTAGGCATTTGACATAATTTCAAACTAAAAATGTTCCACAGCTTATACCAGCTAATAATAACTTAGCCTGAGATATACTAACAACTGCCATATTATATTTTAACTGGTATCAGTATTCCAATTATAAAAGTAATCAAAATTAATCTTTAATAATTATACAGAATGTCGGGATTGTTAAATTTAGACCCGATTTAGAATGTTGCTGTGCGCCGGGCAAGTCTTTAGGAATTCCCTAGGAATGTGTCATACTCGTAGCACTGGCCGGACTTTGAACCTCGCTTAAGAAATTAATTCAATCAATTAATTTACCTACCAAGTGGGACAACCCTTTGGTAGCATAAGTTGTCAGTGAGTCAGATTTTTTTGTTCAATGTCGTCTCTTATCGGCTAAGGACAAGGCGAGTACGCTGCTCGCGTTTGAATAGATACCATTCGGTATTAACCGGTAGAATGAATCACGGCCAAAAGCAATCACAGCAGAAGTGGGTGGCCAGTGCCAGAAAAATGTCGATATAAAAATAAGGAATACACATGTATGTACATGATGAGTGCTATCTATTGTGTTCGCAAGGTGATTATAATTATCAATTATCTACATATCTATACCAGTAGTGTTTGTATGTATGTGCGTATAACATATGAGATAATAAAATTCAGTTGCCTATAAATTTATTTATTATTGAAAAATGGCCGTTAGTGTTGGCGTTGCCCTCGCATCGAACGAATCGATACAATAAGAGAATTGGAAGAATATACAAATATTGAAAAATATCAACTGGACTGTTATATAAGCTTACAAAATGCAAGCCACAGTAACCAGTCAGCAGCAGCCAATCACCATTGTGGTAACGAATCCGCGGGAAAATGCGAGGGCCGAGCGACGCTATATGCGTTGGGTTAACCAGAATCAAACGAAATCCACAGCGGCAGGTGCTATATAGTTTAAACAAATTTGGACTAAAAATTTGAAATTGTAAATAATCTCAATCATTTAGTCTCACTGCTGTTTGTCTATGGAGGCATGGAATTGGCCCTCGGCTTGGGCTGGAATTTATATACAGACATTCCCAGTACTTGGCAGTTCCAGTACAGTTGGTTCATTGGAGTGCTGGCTGGTGCGTTTTTGTCATCGCTACTGGTGACGTGCATACCCAAGAGAATGTTCTATGTGAGTGTTGAAACTGTTATACAAAGCGTTATACAAACTAAAACGGCTATGTTTCACATTTTGTTATCTAACGGTTACAAAAAGCATGAACTAATATGTTTTAGATTTTGTTCTAAAACTGTTATACAAAGTGTAGCACGTTGTTTAAACAGTTGTGTTTTATACTTTCATAGTATTATACAAATATGAAACGGTTATATTTTTTTTTTCTTATAGGTCCTAGGCTCCTTACTATCACTAGTCGATGCCATCATCTTTGTAAGCGCACCCTACGAATATCCCGCTATATTGGCAGCCCGCTATATAGGCGGTGTTGGAATTGGTATCATCACAGTACCCTTCATCATACATAGCAGCGAGATTGCGGCCCGGGATTATCGTGGAATTTGCAGCTCTGTGGAGCAGTATAATCTCTCAGTGGGCATCATGATTCAAATGATTTACGCATCCCGATGGAGTACTGATATGGACTTCCCTGCAAATCAGGTGCACGGCATTTTGGGCATTATATTTTCCGTGCTGGCTCTGGGCTCCATTTTCACTGCGGTCGAGTCGCCAATTTTCTATTTGCGACAAAATCAGGAGGAGAAAGCCCGCTACTGTCAGCAGCAACTCGTGCGCGACTTCTCGAGCACCAGTGCAAGTGAAAGTGCCCTGACCGAGGCCAAGCTGTACGTCCAGGATGGAAATAGCAAGAGCTATAGCTCCGCTTTAATGCCCTTCCTGAAGCTGCTCTTCTATCGCTGCTTTGTAGCCTTCACCTTCTCAGTGCCTCTATCGTGGACCATACAATGGAGTAGTTACATCGCCGAAGGCTCTTTAATCAGCTGGCCTGCCAGCATTTGTGGAGTGTTGCGCATGTTTGGCTCCCTGCTGGCCATGCTCTTCCTGGACAAACTGGGCCGCAAGTTTATCGCAATGTTGAGCCTGCTCGTAATGGCCGGCCTCATGCTGACCATTGCCGGAATATTTGCCACTCCTGAGTATGCACTTAACTGGTATCAAATGGATGCCGTGGTCGGGCTCTGTTTGAGCTTCCAGTTCTTCGCCGGCCTCTTCACGCCAAGTAGCACAACTTATCTGGGCGAGGCCTTTCCCATGCGGACGAAGCCCTACTTCATCGCTTTTATTGTGGCCGTTGAGCAGGCTATACACATTGTTGTTATTGTTAGCTTTGAATCCACCGCGGAATCAATATATGCATACTTTCTGGCCGTAGGTATTATACTGGTAATCGGCTTGATCGGCTTTGCGGTTATAATGCCAGAGACACGCCACACAACCCTGAGGGAAGCGGGTGTTCGCTTTGGCAATGTGCATAATATTATGTCCTATTAAAGTTTTTCAAAACAAACCACATACTTGTACATGTTCTTTTTTAAAACTACAAAATGTGCCCAATAGATATTATACATATGAATATCTATTATTACGAGCCATTGATCTTTCATATTACTATACAATAATATTAATTTGCCAATTATGCCGCGTTTAATTTTTAACCCTTCGTATGAAATTTTTTCTGATTTCAATGCGGCTTTTCCATTAGATAGAAGAGGCAAAATAAAAATAAACGTGATTATTGGTTTTTTGAAATTTTGTGATTTTGTATATTTTTTTTTTACAAAAAACTATGTGTTTCACATCTACAGTAAAGGTATTTCTGGGGTCAAAAAATGTCTGTAAATGATTTTTTTTTAATCTTTATTCTTTACTTAAGATCTGTCCTCAGGAGGACAATTATAACATTATATAGTAGCATTAGATTTGTTCAATCATGCGTTCTGCCATGATGGTTGCGACGTTGTTAAATTAAAATTAAAAAAACGTTTTCTTTTTATTAAAGCACTTCAATACTATTGAAAACATTTAATACATAAAACCTCTAATTCGCTTGCATCCCACGAATCACAAAATTGTTTCCAAATCAAATACACTTAAGATATTATGTGTAGAACTACAACAACACTAAAACTTTGCAAATTTCGCTCATACATTGTAAGATAATCATAGACATACGAAGGGTTATTTATAAACTGTTTTACAAAGCGTTTTAAAAACTGTTATATTAGATAAGCTTTTGAAAAAATTGAAAATTAAAAATACTCTATACTGTTATACCCGGACGAAAAAAGTTGCTTCAGATTTTATAGTGAAAGACCATAGATGGGTAGAAGTAAAATAGCATAGATAATTTGTTATCTCATTGTGTACATACATTCTATATCACTATACAAAGTCTGCATATTTATATACACGTATGTATAGTAAGTGTGGGGGTTAATTTTCCAATCGATGTTATAAATCAAACGTTCGCATTATTTCCTCTATTGCAGCTAAGGCCCTACTTTATATAACATACAAAAGTCGATATCAGAACGGAGCTTAGAAAAGTAATACAAACTGTTTTCTTTTGTACTAGGCTAATTTTTCAACAGGTGTGATGAAGCAAACATGAAACAACTATTGTTCTATTGTTTCTAGCTTAGCATGCAAGGCCCCTGGAACTTTATTTTATCACACATGTACATATGTACTACGTAGAATTAATGGCATTAATCACACTCTTATCAAAGCCATTGTGAAATTCCGCACACTTCTGTTGACTCGCAATATTACGCATACGACCCATTAGTTTGAGCCCTTGTTATAAGTTGAAAGAAACATTTGCAGCTGGGATTTTTGTATAACCTTTTGATTTTTGATTTTAAATTGAACTTTTTCCCCCTTATTTTTGGAAATTTATGTGCTTCCAAATGCTGTTCATTTTCTCGCGTGTGTTTCCCTTCCTGTTTTATAATAAACTGTCGGTTTGCGGCATTTTATTTTAGACTTTGGTTAATTATGAGGTAATTTATGTCTCCGCTACACATCTTATTGCTTTGTGTGTGAAACTTTTTTGGTGAGTAAATTATGAGGCGTTGTATTAGGTGTTCTGGATTTGCTTTTATGTGTTGCACAAATGCGCACCATTATGTATATATTTATAAATGAACTCACAAGATGGGCAGCTTCTATTCAAAATTTTGACACTTAGTTGTGGCGCTTAGCCGCATTTTTAATGTGCTGCCAACATTTTATGTGCCTTTTATACATTTTTATGGTCCAGATCATTTGTGTGCGCTTAATTGCACATTTTTTATAAGTTTTCCGGTGGCAACAGCTGCCACTTCTTCGGCACAGTGAAGTGCGATTACAGGGGATAATTGTGTATAGGGAAATAGAAATGCACTTAAAAAGAGTTTTGTGATCTGCGGAAAAAACCTTGTACTGAAAATAGAGTCCGCCGTTTTGTGGCAACTTTTTGTCAAATGTTTACCAAATGAGCTCCAATTTTATATTCACGTCGATGTAAATATGAGGTTTTATGAAGCAAATGTTTGCCACAGGAAACTATACCCGTCCTAGTATTTCAGAGTTTTAAATGCGTATTTACATAACTTTGAATTATGAATAAATAAGTTTGTGATCTAAGTTGGTAACTACAAAATATAGTAATAGAGCCGCAGTATCCAATGCACTTTTTATTTTACATAATTTCAAAATTCCATGATCAGTTTGATCCACAACATTTAAATACACATAAAAAATACAAATACTTAAGGAATTTTGAATTCTTATATACAATTACAATAAAATCCATATTTGCGTGATCCAAACTTTAGTTTCCCACACAAATAGACTCAATGTCGCTATATGGCATACAATTTTAACTAAATGGAAACTTAAATCAACTCAATACAAACAACAACATGAAAATCCTAAGATTGGAACAGTACTTGAAATTTAAATTTGTTTTTTTCTAATATAATACATTCGAGTGGTACTGCGATCCACCTAAGCTATATTCATAAATGGACTCACTCTTACATGAGATAAACTATTTCCAGTGGACTTTAATTCAATGAACAACAGTACCACAAGCTCTAAATCGACATGCAGGCTGCTTATAACTGAGTACCTTTAAATGCTTGTATGAAAATCAATTTACCAGATTGCTAATGCGTTCCACTAGGATATATGCCTAAGGTAACAATAAAAATAGACTTACTTACTGTAGCCTTATAGGGTACTCTTTTAAAGTTTTAAATAACTTCAATTCAATTTTTAACACGATGTACATTAGAATTAGAATCTACAAACAATTTGAAGAATTTAGTAATACAATAGTAGGAGGACCATGAAAATGATTGTGAAAATAGCAAACACGATGCTCAAGAAATGTAAGGCGAATTTTAAATAAATAATCAAATTTGTAAACAAATGCATTTGTCGAATGCCTAAACAAATGCTTCCTGTATCCAAAGCGATTTAACAAATTCAAAAGTTAGTAATCCACTTTCAGACATTCTCTTCTTCATGTCAGATGCAATTGAAGTATCCAAGAAATGTGAATATACAGTAATCCAAGCGAAGGAATGGCATCTAATTTATTATTTTTGTGCTGAACACAATACAAAAATTGCGAGAAACAACAACAAGGCTTGCTTGCTTGAATTACAATTGAAATAACACTCGAGCAAGCTTCTCAAGTACTTGTGATTCCCCATTGAGTTGCGTAAAAAATGCGCATAAAAATTGCATTAATACGCCCGATCAGGCCAACAAGAAGCTAATGAACAGTGGCAATAAAGGACAATTGCAATTGCAGCTAAAACATTTGCCAGACGCCATACGCCATTCGCAATAGTCGATGCTTGTTGTTGAGGCATGGCTGGGAAACGAAGCTTTCGATGCCCTTAAATGGCCCAGAAAAACGAGTCAACAAGACAGCACATCTGTAAGAAAAGGGGGGGAATGAGAAGAAAAAAATTGAACAGCCAGCAATTGAATTGACAAGAAAAAATGCGTGCAAAAATGTTACTCGAGTGACGCAGCCATCGCTGGAAAATGTTCCACAAACCAAAAAAACACGAAGGGGAAAATGGGAAAAACGCACGAACCGACAACTTGCAAGACAGCACAAAGTGAATTAAATGCAGACGCGTGATATTGCACATTAATTAAATCCAAGCCAACCTGACGTCGCCTCCACCTCCACCACGGCTCTTTGGCAGTCGGCGAGGTCAACCACAGCCCCTGAGGCAGCCCACCACCTCGCAATTACCATTAAGCTCAACCAAACGGAAGCAAGCAACGACTTTCCTCAAATGCATTTGATGGACTGATTGTGTCCTCGCTATTTCCTACGATTCACCTCTCACTCCTGCAAGATGGTAGCTGCAGTAAATAACCTGCTAAAAGAAATCGATAAAAAGAAATCGATTATATGAAGATGAAGTTCCATTCTCTCTCTATTGTGTGTTATCAGTGCATCGAAGCAAGAATTGAATTGAATTAAATAACCTGCTAAAAGAAATCGATAAAAAGAAATCGATTATATGAAGATGAAGTTCCACTCTCTCTATCTCTCTCTCTCTTGTGTGTTATCAGTGCATCGAAGCAAGAATTGAAGAAGAAGAATTCAACACCAAAATTCTTTGAAACCTTTCGGACTTAAGTACAAGCCCTAACCACTATTAATTTGTACGGCTACGTTTTTTTCGATAGTGCAACTTTTAATTACTTATGTATATTCCTTTTTATGTGATTATTGCCCAAACATATTTATACTTTTTACAAAGGACATTGAATTACATTTAATTTCATATCAAATTATGAACACGTTTCACAACAATAAAGTCAATTTAAATAAATAACTTTCATAATAAACGAAATGTTTTGTACTATTATTTATTGGTACGGCAACAATATTTATTAATTAAACCCAAGTATCATCTTTTTTATTTTTAATAAGAGCTTAATTCTCGTTTTAATGGTTTTGACTAAATTTATACATTCTTCCGGAGTTATAAAGTCCAACATTTTCTGAAATTTTGATTTTAATCCAAACATCATAGATGCTCCAACTCTTAGAGCTATCGCAATAGAACTCTGAATTGAGGCATTGAGGACACACTATACTTATACTTTTACTTTCTTTAAGGAAACAATATTTTAAAAAGCAAATAATCTTTTTTTTTTTGCAAAATTTAGAATCATTGCAAAGTTCAAAGCAATACAAAGCACTTTACTAAGTATACATATGTCTACGAAATGTATTTTTTGATATTTGATATTTTTGTGGGAACAGTGAAAAGTATAAAAATAAATACAAAGGATGTCAAAAATGCACTTCCCCTTAGGCAAATAATTTCAATCTGAATACAAAGAAAGACAAAATATGATTATTGTTAAAGAAAACACATTTCATTTGTCTTGAAATGCATTTTTTGTTTAATATATTGAATTTTCAGAATACTTAGGAGAACTCTCACAAAAGGCAAACAAAGAAAGACCCTGCATAGCTCTCTGCATATCAGTGGCTTTGCTCTTTTATTTCTGCTCTCCAGACTATGGCTCGACAGTCCCATTAAAGGTCCAAAAAATATATTTGTTTTGCTTAAATGTGGCTGTGCTCAGACAAGCGAATAATTTGCTCACAAATTTCATAGAGATTCACACGATTGTCATATTTTACAACTAAAAGGAATCCTACGCTGAAATACGAATATACTATAACAAAAAACTTCTTCGTGTTAATTTTTATAAGCATGTATATGCATGCACGAGTATAATGTTGAATATCCTTCTTTAAAACTTATAGGTTCGTGAGTTTTGCTAGAGTTTATAAAAATTCCCAGAAAGTTTCCCTGTTATGGAAATTCTTCAATGCATTGCAAGCTAAACAAAAATAGCTAAATTCTGGATCACTACACACATATATATACAATTTAAAATTCATAGCTTAAAATACACTTACCTTTAGCCTTGGTTTATTTATAGCAAACAGCAAATGGAGCACCTGAAATGAGAAGAGAATATGTGCTGTCATGATTTTTTGTATTTCTTTGCAATTTTGTAACAAGCGTTATTTATAGAAGACCCTCTAACCTTTCTTCAGCAGCCGTCAAATGGGGTAGACATCTGTCAATCTCAACTAGAAGATGCATTAGCATATTCCCATATCATACCCAACTTTTTGGCTCATTAATACGCTTCGTAGCCAAATCGTTTATAGGTACGACGAGCATATACATACATTAAATATAATTCCCTGCTCAATTCTTGACACATCAACCGGGACAAGACAAGACAAGAAAAGACACGACGGGAAGTGAATTATTTGTAGCATTTAAAATTTAAATTCTCGCTGTTGCGGATTATTTCTTTCATTTATTCTGTTTTTTTTTTTTTTTGCAACTGACATATTTCACACCTGTCACAGGTAGGCAATGAGACTTTTGCGCAAATAGCCAAAGCTGTTGAATGATTGATTGTTTGACTAAATGAATGACTGACTGACTGACTGACTGACTGAGTGTGTGAGTGAGTGAGTAAATGAGTCAGTAAGTTAGTGTGTGAGTGAGTGAAAGGCCAGTCCGTGACCCACGGAGCGCCTCCATCTGTCAGCTGTCAGTTTCTGAGCTTACGGTAGCAAAGTGTTGAACTTGGCGCTTTAATTGAGTGCTCGAAATAGTTGTTGTCGTTGTTGTTGTTGTTGTGTGATTTATTTGCAGCCATGTCGGCAGCCCGTTGCTCCACTTAGCGAGCAACCCACTCATTGACTTGTTGGGCGCAAGCTCATGAAATGTGTGTAAACAGTCAAGACTTTTGGCCAAGTTGCCTGCAATGTTCGGCTGGTATTTTAATTTCCATCCCCCCGGCCCCCCTTCTCTTTTCATTATTGAACAAACAGACTGCGCTGCACTTTATTTTATGACTGCGGCAATGGTGCAACGCTGCGTATGCGCAATGCCTACAAATATCAAACTAACGAGCCTGAAACTTGCCTTTAACCCAGTTTCTGCAGTTTTCAGTTATCATTAACACTTCTTTGTTGTTGCCTAGAGTTCTGTTTTTGTTTTCTTATTGGTGGAAAGTGTTCGTTAGACATGCAAATGGGGAAAGATTTAGACTCAAGGGGTTCACTGAAAGCGGGTTATGGGGGAGCCAGGTATGTGGAGTAACGCTTAATCGGACATAAAAAGTTGAAAAACTTTATAAACTTTCTATAGTGCACGAAAAATGAGGACAGCCATTAAGCGCTCGTAATTAAATTTCTGCCTTTATTATCTTCACCCACAAGTAAGAATACAATTAAATCAAATTTTGAATATACTTGTATATCGAGAATTGATGGCAATACCATTATTTCATAACTTTGACCTAATGTTCTGACCAACATAGTCATGAGTATTAGATATAGGACCGGCAATAGAGTGTCATTAAATAGTATTCCTCTTCATCTCAATTTATCGTCCTTATTAAGAAATGAAGGTTAGCAGGTTCTAGTTAGCTGATATCCTGTAATAAGCTAGCCATTAGCTGTTTTCTCTGGAGCTATGGATGATAAGAACCGTCTGCTTTTGTACAAGCGTGGGATTTTAAGATATTATTTATATTTTTTTGTATTTATTTTTAAGGTTCTTAAAAGAGTTTTAAGAAATGTTATTTCATCAAAAATTACAAGCTGCTGCTTCTGTTTTTAAATTATTTGATAAAAAATAGTTCTTGCTATCGAATGTTATAAATATTTTATTGTTGATTGACAAGTTATTATAAAAATATATTACATGGCCGCCCACCCATTTTTCCTTCAAGTTGATTTGTTTGCCAACTTACTGTCTATTACCTATCTACATATATCTACTATCTATATGATAAGTACCTACTATCTATATACTATCAATCTCCTATCTATCTTTTATGTATATATCTCCTATCTATTGATGCGAAACAAATTCTAGATACTTAAAAATGCTTCCTAATTTTTAGTTCACATGACTGCTGGGTTAGGTTAGGTTAAGTTTAATTAACTAACATCTATAAATATTGCACCTTCCATTTATTTTAACCTTGCCCTTCACTAGCTACACAAACATTAAAAAAACAAAACAAAAAACGGCAGCTGTTAATTTAATAAACAAGTTGTCTTTTAGCAATGAACAACAATTCACTGATAAATTCCAATCAACACATTGCGTATACGCAACGTTTGTCCATTAAAAAGAAAACAAGCCGGCTAGAGTAAATAAAGCAAGTAGAACGTTCAAGTTGAACGAATTCGAATCATGTATACCCTGTCAATGCCCCTCTCGCCACCACAATCATTCAACTGAAATAAACTTTGTTGCAAGAGAGATTTATGATAAAGTGCGAGGATTTCGATCAAATTTAATATTATGATGAGGATTTTTAAAAAACTCATAATTACCAAATTTTAAGTTTTTTTTACTAAGAGTTGTTGTTATACTGATTGTTTCTATAGCAACTACTATATGATATAGCACAGCGATTTGAATGAAACTTTATATGATGGGAGATGAAGCATTAAATAGAAATCGTTTAATATTAAATTGGGCTAAACACAAAGGTTATTTTAGTTATGATTATTATATAAAATAATGAGGCATTCCATAATCAAGTCTACATGCCAAGTTTCGAGTTCCTAGTTGTAATGGTGCAAGAGTTTTCTGGGTTCATACAGACGTACATGCCCACTTCGTTTTGTCTGCCACGCCTCTCTGCTAAAAATATGTACTATTTGTAAATAAAAAGGCATGGATATACGTTGATAGATGAGTGATAGATGTGTGGTATTGAGTGGCTGACGTTCTAGCGTTCATTTATTTATTTTTCTTTGGATTGACAAACATAGAGCACACACACACACACATACATTTGTACGTTACATGTAAATAAACATACATATATACGAAGTATACAGACAGCAGACATCAACTTTTTGATTGCAGGTAAACACCGAAGTAAATGACGAATTGTGCGATTGACAGCTTCTAGAAGCATTGAGCGGCAGAGCCTAAAAGACAACCAACCGACTTGCATTTACTTATCTACAGACACACACACTATATATATAGATGCAGGCATAGTCGTAGAACGAGTTTTCAATTTTGATAAGCGCCGAATGTCATTGATCTTGAATGCAACTCAAAACTAACTATCGATTGCGTTTCTCCCCCGCCTAATAAGAGGTTGACACAATTGACTAAAAATAACACGATGAGTTTATATAGTTCTGTGCTCTGAACAATAGAAATTACTTAGTTGAGAGTAGTTGTCTCTGGAAATGCAAATATGTATTCGAAATACAACGCTTCATCGCACAATACGACAAATTCCGGCGGCCATTTGAAGCGTTAAAAAGAGGCTGCATGGCCAGTAAGCAGAGACAATAGACAGGTGTTTGTCAAAAGCAGGTAATGTGTAATATATATGTTTATTTTTTTATTACACTATTTGATTGAAATGCGCTGAGCAATATGTAAATAAGTCTATACACCACATCATCATCATCTGCCAATAAATAGGATAAACAAATTTTATTACAGACCTTTACATTTTCCATTATACTTATTCCTCACATTATATAAGGCTTTTGTCATCAAATACTGGAGCTTTACAAAGCAAAGATTAGAGAAAATAGAGAAAATGAGTCAAGAATTAACAGATGAAGCTGTTCCAAGGAAACACTTGAGAGTATTTAAAAAACTCAGTTATTGTAGGGTTAGATCAAGTTAATTTAATTTAATTTAATTGCAATTTAATTTACTCTTCTTAGGCAAACATAGTACTCGTAACTATATAAAGTTAATAGCGTGTCTTGGTTGGTACAGAGTAGAAAAAAAAGTATCATTAGAATTTTACACGCAATTCAGTTTCCCACATTTCTTAAATTATATATGACAGATTGTTATATCGGAAGCATTTAAATTGTTGCTCTGTTGATTCATAAAGCACAAATGAACCCCATTCATATTAACCCTAATGAGTGTCACTAATGAGCTCAGTGGGGATATAGTAGATTGTTCAAAATTGACAATAAATCTTTTCCTGCGTTAAAACTAGTAAGAACTTAAAACATGTTTCCTATAAAAAAAACATAAAAACTTAAGTCGAGTACACTTTAAAACTTCGGAGTGAGAAGTATTTCCTTATAAAATGAATTGATACTGAACTGTTTAGATGTTAGAGAATCCAAATATATATTATGGACAAATCAGAGGCAAAATCTCATTTTTTACAGATATGTGTGGTAGGAGTGTGTATTTTAATCTAATATCTATGTACTGGAATTAATTTGAAGTGCAATTATATTGTAAAAAAATACTTCTGAGACGTCGGAATTTATAATTATAAGAGATTATTTTGAATCTGTGAGAAACCAAATCACAAAGCCGGAATTTGCATAAATTGTGGACGGACGTTGATTTGAACAAACATAAAATATTTAGACAAATTTGAAATAATTTGTTCAGATATTTGAAATTTGAACATATGATGAATTCAAAAATTGTGAATATGTATAATCAAAAGAGATATTCGGTTCGAATCACACCTCAACCATCATGACAAAAGCATGATTGAAATTTCAAAGTTATCAGAAAATTTAATAATTTTTCAACCTAGGAACGATCGAAAATAAAAATTGAATATTTGAAAAACAAGAAAATAATGTTTGACCTAATGCTTCAGAGAACAGGCGCGATTTAGCTGTGAATAAGTATTAGACCATCACAGATGTCTAAATTGGAATCTTCAAAGTATTTGTATTTGCTGCTAAGAACAAGATTTGAACAAAGCTACAGACTATTATTATTGTTGGTATCAATCTAAAAGCTTTCCATCATAAAACCCAAACAAGATTAACCTTTTTAACATTCTGTATTTTTAGTTGGGATTTATCACCTATAGTTATATTATGGCGAATTGACAATACTCGTATACTCGTCTGCATTAGCATAATCATTTTAACGGCTCTTAATAGAATTCAGAGTTCTG